GTAATATTTAGTTAAATATCGAATCCTAATGATTTCAAAACAGTTCGACAGTTGTTCAATGGAGATGATCATCAAAGTGAGCTGATATGCTGATGATTAATTGAATTTCTAGTAAAATGGAGTGCGTCTTGAAGACTTTCATCTCCAAGACCACCCTCAGACCATCAAGTATCAACATAATGTTTTGTATTTATGCGGTTTTTCATCGACATCTATGGCATTGTCTTGTGTTCATTTTTCATCTATTTTCACTTTTCTCTACTTAGTGCATATCTTTCTTTCTCTCTCTTTCTTTCTGATTATAAAATACCGTATTCAAAATGACTAATGATCTTGACGGAATAGTTACAATATAAAGGAAAGACAAGTTAGATTTAAGTCATAGAAAAAAAAGAGAAAGAGAGAGAGAGAGAGAGAAAGCAAGAAAGAAAGCGGTGAGAGGAGAAATGAAAGAGGAAAGATTGTTATGCTTAGATTGCTTTGAGTTTAGATATTGGCTTAAGAACGATATAAGGAGAAAGCCGACAATTCCCTTACTACTTTGGAGTCTTCTCTATGTTATTCATGAGAAATTTATCATATTGTCCGACAAGTTGAACGTCAAGTAGAACTAATGAGAAAAAGTTGCAATTATCTACAAATAAAATTGATCAAAAGATTAATGAATAGATTAAATTTTTTTATCATTTTATTTAATTCATTAAAATTTCAATTCAATGAATAAATTCTGGAAATTTTTTTAGCTTTTATGCATTTGAAAAAAAGAAAGTTGTTTTAATGAGATTTAGTAATGAAAATTTTTTCTACTATCCATTTGTTTAATTAGATTTTTTAGTTCTATTATAAACATTGCATCATTTTGAGCCTTTTATTTTTTTATAATTTAAAAATATATATATATATATATATATATATATATATATTTCTAAACTATTAAAGAAAAGGGTAAGATTATAATTCACTTTCTGTTTTTATTAAATTGTATTTTACTCAATTCAATTTTCATCAATCATCACTTTTCAAATTTCTTGTTCATTACCAAGAAGTTATCTTCCAACATATTCAAGGGTTAGCTAATGGAAAACACAAAATGCGCGCAAAATAAACGAATGAACCGTATTACTAATCAGACCATGATCCTACATTTTTTTCTAATGATTAAATATAATTTTTCAATATGAATAATTTTAATGCTCGAATGTAACAAATTAGATTTATTAACTGTAAATTTAGAATAAGAATAAGGTTGGAAATGAGGCTAAAAGTTATGGCTACGCATGCGCATACACTTATGTTCATTTATTATGATCTCTATGCGCATGTTCACCCCCAAATATCCTTCCTATTTGAATTCCTATTTTATTTCACCTAATCATATGATGGCCTTAAGAATTTATTTTTTTATAATTTGACAGAAAATGTTTGTTAAATAATAGAAAAACAATCTCAACGTATGTATTCTTCTCTTCTTGTAACTTTTTGAAACGAAATTAAATAACGGAGAAGGTAGGATTATGGGTCACTTTTTCTTTTTATTCGTGTCAAAAATAATAAATACTTTTTTCTGTCATATCGTCACGAAAATTTCAATTTTATTCTCAGTTTAGAGCTCTGCCTTGTAGAGACGGACAACATGCGTGTGGGCATGTGCACAAACAAATTCTGTCATTCTATGCAGGGAAGAAACGACGGGCTTTATTACTTTTGAACGGAGAGTAAAATTGATGTTTACGTGGGGGTATGACAAAAAAAATTATTTGTTCGATTAGTTTTGTAGCAAAAAGGAAAATATATCTAGAGACTGATATTACTTCAAAAGAATCCCAAGAGGTAGTTTGTGTCAATCTAAAACTAAAAATATTTACTATTACAACTATTGAGCAAATAAAACGCATCAGTTTATACCAAGCGTGAGAGATAGATCACAGGAAATATTTTGACATAAAAAAACGTCCTGATATGATCGATGTCTATTCCCAAGCGATTAAACAATGAAAACATTCAGCATTTATATAATAAACAAACACACAATTGAGAAAACAAAATAGAACACAATAAAATATTTAACGCGATGACCTTTTTAAAATAATAATAAAAAATTATTTTATTTATGCAAAATAATAAAGTAATTACAAATGACTTCAACATTATTAAAAAAAATAATTAGAAAATTGAAATTTTGTTACTAAAAATTTTAACAAACACTATAAATTTTTTTTGGAAAAATAAAAAAAGGAGGAAGAAATTTTGTATTGTAGTCGTTTTTATTCTTTTTTTTCTCATTCCATCAATTCCATATGATCATTAATCAAATTCCCCACTTCTTCTCTTTCCTACTTCGATTCTCCCGCCCTTTTCTCTTTTCTCCACCTCTCCTCCGCCCTCTATATACATATATATACATGTATATCTTCCAGAATATTCTAAAGAAAATACTTTATCAGCATCATCAATGACCTAATATTGATTGAATCACGTAAATAAAAAAAATCCCCTAGAGAATTGTAACCTCAAAATTTCATGAAAAATGGATAAAACTTTGTCGAGAGAATTCGAAAAAGGGTGAAAACAAATGATTTTAAACAGGTAATTTTGAGCAAGAAATGAAGAATAAATGCGTCACGCATGATTAGCAGTCGGTATTTCTAGTAACTTTATGTGTATACAAAACTTGGGGTTTACCGCAAAATTTGTACCTGTATTGTTAAGTAATTTATCGTTTCTTCTGTACTCCCTTGAGGTTACTTCTTTGTATTTTATTTATATTTTTACATTATTTAAAAAGTGATCAGAAGTCAAGAAAATGACTTGAGAACAATTGATGACTTTACTACTACACCAATGTCCACTATTCTAACAATGCAATTAATTTTCTATAGAATGTAATAATAATTATTAATAAAAAAATAGGTCTGAGCACACTTTGTCTGTGCTAACACGACGAACTTCCCATTAGTAATTGTTTATAAAAAATTTAAATAGTTATAATCAGTGTTTCTTGAAAACATCCAAATCCATGTGATATACACATTACTTAATCAATAAATACAATTTTTAATTGTTCATAACAAATTTGTATTGTTATAAACAATGTGTAATTGTTGAAAGTCATATTTGGTAGTGAACAATAATGTCTAGTCAATATCGACTTAATTTTCAAATAAAAATGTTATTGTTTGACTTAAAAGTATTTTAAATATCTACTCTTTTCATTTTTTTATGAGTTATTTTGTTACAAAAAAAACAGCTCGACCGAATTTGTTCAAATTTCACTTGGACCTTCTTTATGATAATATCTTTCGAATTAATTTTAGTTGAAGTCGATATCTTAATCCGTTCTTGAGATATCGAAAACGAAAAAAATGCTGACGTCCATACATACGTACATATGTACGTACGTACACACACATCATTCTAAAAATTGGTCAGTATGCTTGCAAATATCATGAAACGTGGAGATATGATGAAAATTTAAATTTCACCAATCGACCCAATTTCAATAACTTCCTAATCGGAAGTTAATAAAAATATGCTAGCGTATTAGCAAGGATTTATTTTAATTAAATGAATAAAAAAAATTGTTTAACAATCAATTAACAATTAACTTTAAGGAAAGTAATTTAAAGTAATTTTTAGTAAAAATTTATTTCATTTATACAGAACTATTTAGATTTTAATGAGTACTTCTATTAATGTAATATATTTAATGATTTATTTTCTTTAATTGATTTATTTATCTAAAATTATCTTGAATATTAAAAAAAAACAGAGTAAACTTTATGCATTGTAATTCATTTTAAAGATCACTTGATAATGGTAGTGACGATTGTTACCAAAACGTCACAATAAATCACATTATAGATATTCGATTAGAAGTTTAATTCATATACTAAATTTAAGAAATATTAATAATTACCAATTTTATCTTAACAAAATATAGTAATTTTTTTTTTTTTTTAATCATTGATAAGAAAAATGAATACACTGTATAATAATTTTTGCAATCTGCGTAATAATTGTTCTCACTATGCTGATGCGAACTACCATCAAATTGATGATAAATTTTACAATACATCTCTTTCCGTGTAGTTGAGATAAATGAGACAAGTAACTAGCTCATTAATTTAAAATTGAAAACAAATTAATTTATATATTGATAAACAAATGATTTGTTTTTTTCATATAAATCCTCCTCTTATACGCATATTTATTAAACATAACAAATGAATGGATAAAAAGATAATTTAATGTGTTAAAAGAAAATTTTTCTTGGCCTCCTTATAGATGAGTAGAATGATGTTATTAACACTCGTGTTGTTAAATTGTAATTCTTACAGAATTATTCATATAATAAATGTATGGTATGTTAAATTCATGTTTCTATTATTAAACTTAGTGGGTTGAACTTTGGAATAAAATAAAATAACGTTAAATTGTATTGTGGGCGCGGTTGACACCCTGCTGCGCCAATCATCATGGCTGCTAACATTTTATACAACCTACGTATTACATATCTCATCCAAAAAACATTCTCACAATGGTATAAAAACCAATTGTTTGTCCATTATCATCACTAAAATTTAATTATAAATTTAACGGATTTTTTACATTCTTTCCATGTCAATCAAGGGAGATTTACAATTTTTTCCAATTATTATTTGAAGTAATAGCTGATCGCAGAGATATTGAGATCGATTTTTTGAGCTATCGGAAAGTTGTTAAAATAATAAAAAAAACATGTCTAGGAATTGTGAGAGGAGGTTGATTGATATTAGAAAAAGGTTGATGAATAATGAAAAAAACAATTTAGTTATGATCAGATGAAATTTGATAATTTTTTAAATTATAAGTTCAATTCTTATAAACCTAAGCGAATTATAATAAATAATGCTATAACATTTGGTAATTCAAAAAAAAATAGTTTTATCATAACATCCGTTTCCATTGCTCAGATTTGTATTGAAGAAATATTCAATCACTCACCAATTTTGATGTTCCAGGATATGGATCTCATTGAAGTTCTTTGGAAGCAGGATGTTGATCTGGGTTTTACTCTTGCTGATGTCGAGGGGGTGAAATCTGACACATCAACCTCCAAAGACCGTAAGAAAGAATCCGCTGATGAACTGGAGAAACTCAAAGCTCTAGAAGCAGTGAATGCAACAAAAAATGAGGTATGATATCATTTTAATAAACTGATAACGATAATATAAATAAATAAGTTGAAAAATAATGATGATGATGATAATGTTCTTGACGATTGTCACAAATCGTCAGCATTTAATAATGGTAGTTTGTCATTGGAATTAAACTAATGACCCATGTCAGTGCCAGATCATGGCTGGAGATGGTTGTAAGTGACTGTAGGGTGGTTATCAACTGAAATATCTCGATCAAACATTCCGATGATTGTGAACCCATGTGCCAAATGCTCTCCCAAAGAGTTACAATGCAGAGAAATTTAATATTTTAGGGTGAGATGGCCACATTTGTATCACACTGTCACTTAACACCTAATTTTTGTAAAAATATACTTAAAATATATACAAATACCAGGAAACAATAATTATTCATCAAATGTGTTTATTGTTTAGCATGTAATAGTTATGATATTGCTCGAAAAAAATTATTTAAGTGAAAAAACTGATGTTCAGTGTTGGAAATTGGGAAATTTCTTTGAAGTTTGTTGATGAATTTTAGCATTTTTTATGTTTCAATGATGGAAAAAAAATTTTTTCTATCGGTTGTGATGTTGGAAATTGAGAATCGATATTTTTGAAACTTGTTCTAAGGTTTGGAATTAAAAAAAATTGAGTCGAATCGTGGGAGAGTTTTTTCCATGATGGTGATCTTGTCCTTTGTTCTGTGGATAAATTCCATGCTATCTGACTGGTTCTTAATCAGGACGGGGGCATATCGTATTATTCAACGATCGACGTCGGCGTCATCACAAAGAATATCGGGTATGGTGGAGCATCACGAAACAGTCAGAATGAGTGAGAAACGTCAAGAGGTAAGAAAAAAAAGAAGAGAGAAGGAATGATGAAGAGAGAATATAGAGTTTAGAACGTTCAATGCAAAGTCATTGTTGGGGGGTCTTTTCACGTGATGGTTTCGTCTTCTTCTCTATCTTTTACAAGATCCTACACGTTCTAATCCTGTAATCATTAATTTTCAATTTCATTAATAATCTAACTGAGATTTTTATCGGAAACTGTCAAAATATCAACAGAATATTTGTTAGTAGACGAGATCTAATTTTAATAAGTTTCTTTATTCAAGTCTACCAACGCATCAGAATTTTTTATTTAAAATTACCATTTCTATGTTGTAGTGCACCCGATTGGCGATTTCAAACATCACCATTTAACCTCCTTTTAACATTTTTTTCATCAGTTACAGTTATTTTAAAACACCATGAATTGTCGTCTAGTAAAGAGAATTTTTAATTTCATAATAGCTTTGAATGATCTTAACAGAAGAAAAAGAGATAAGATTATAGTGTGTGAGATCGCTAATCGAGTGAGCTATAATATAAAATTATTATTTTCCGGATAAAAAAATTTTGTTTAGTTATTAAAGTTAAATAAATTTCAAAGATTTATTTAGCCATAGCTATGTAAGTCTGTGGTGTTGTTGATGGAGCTGATGATCATAGAACTTTGATGTATAAAGTAATAACATGAATAATTGAAGAAATAAATAATCAATGAGGTGGAAGTAATATGATTGCAACGCCCCTCAAACAGATCTTCGTTTTCAATAATTTCAGAAGAATCCATTGCAGAAAGAAAAAAAGAAGGACGAAGAATCCCCTTGATGTATTTTCTAGTCCAATCTCTGAGCACGCAGTTCTCCCTCTTCATCTAATGGACCATCCGTTGGATACAACATAGAATTCCCTTCCCTCGAAAAACCTATACAGCTTTCTCTTTCAGAACTGTATCCATCCATCCGACACACCCTCTTTTCTATTCCAACATTTATCATTTATCTCATAAGACTCCATTCCCTCATTTTATTTATCTTCTTCCTTTTTTACTCCAAAAATATTTTACGCCATCTTGAATTCAATACTTGTAATATAAAATATTGACAGACTTTAGAATTGTTAGAAAGTAAAAAATAAATATTGAGATAATAATTGTGCGAATTAAGGAAAGAAAAGAAAGAAAAACACTAGAGCGTTAAGAAAAATATTGTTGGATCTGAAAAATCCAAAAATGACTTTGCTTTAGATCTAGATGAACGAGAAACTAGTTTAGGGTGGCCAGAAGCTTATCAGATAGGTGGTAATCGCAAGTACTCTAAAGGCTTTGGAGAAAACAAGAGGACTTTAAGTCGACGGAATCCTTGGAAGCTGGATGCTACCAAAGAGATTAGACACGTCTGTGCCAAACCCATGCTCTTAATCTGTGGTCATCTTTTAAATCCTACTTTTATGTATCTTCAACTTCATCTTACGTTTAAGTATATTCCACGGCACCTTCTGCAATACTTTGATGTCTATTTGCTTCTATTTTTTTTTCTTTTCGATTTTATCAGGTTATGTTTGGGAAAAAGGCATTTAAATTTATGTAAATAGTTGGAGAATGGTTTTCTATGGAGGACGATTTGTAAGTAGTGGTTGAGTGATTTTGATGTTATTTTGATTATTTAGAGCTAGGGAAATGAATTAATCTATCATTAAATAACTTTATGAAATGTTTTGAATTATTTTTTTTTCTCCAAGAAACTCTGTACTCTAGTGCAAGTTAATTCTTTTTCTCAGGATAAATTGTATTTTTCTTGTGCAATATATCACATACTATAGTTTGTTTATGACATTTAACATAACAAACATTTAAGTATTTCATTAATAAATACTTAAAATATTTTATTACTTAACACTAAAATTACCACCGTTATTTTACACGGCAATGTAATTTTTTTTACTCAATCTTTCTCTCAATTTAGTGATAATTTTTAACTTACTTTTCGCATACATGAGTTGATTAAATTTCTTCTTCTCCATTCCAAGTTATTGTTTCCAAAACAATTAACAATTTATCAATATTAAAATTTAATTTTTCAAGAATATGTTGGTGAATTATTGTTAAAAAATGATTTAAAAATAATTTTGATAATAATTATGGAATCGGCCATTTTTGATGAAGAGATGTTGATGCTGAGGAGAGAAGGGAGACGATGAAGAATATAACGATAGAAAAATAAGGGAAGAAAGCGTTGGTTTATGATTAATGGATAAAAGTACAATGGCGTTTTCATTAAATTCATTTTGACGATACACAAAATGAATAAGAGAGACCAACAAATCCCTTTTCTTATGCATACTTTTGTATTTGAGGGTTCGTTTATTTTTTCATACATCCGTTGATTATGACATCACTATGAAATATGTCATGATGTTATGCTAGTTTGAACATATTCAATAGATGCCATCATTATTTCTAATATCATCATCAATTTTTCCATTATTTTATTCCACTCTGAACTTTAATTGAAATTAAATAAATAATTGTGTTATGATAAATCAAACGTTTTAATTATTTTCCTTTTCTATGTAGGATAAAGCTAAAGATTCAGAAGAAAAGGAAGATGATCCTTGGGCAGGACTTTCTTACACTGTTGATTTGGAAACAGGTTAGTTTCAATATTTTATGTATTTAAAAAAAAAAACCATTTTTGATGATAATTAATTCTTTATAACTTTTAAAAATATCTTTAAAATTATATATTTCCTTAAAAAGTACAATTAATACTGTTTTTTTTTTTTTTTTTTAAATAATGCCAATAACAAATGCAAAAAACTTAGATAAGAAAAGTATGACGTGTCATTAATAATAAAAAAAAAATATAAATAAATAGATTGATGATAAAGAAGCTTTATAAAAGAAAAAAGCTCTTATAATGATGAAAAAGCTCAATTAATAGATCAAAAATATAATTATTAACAAAAAAAAGTCTAGGTAACGAAGGAAAAAGATGTAGTTGATGAAAAAAAGCTTTCAGAAAATTCGAAAAAGCTTAGATAATTGAAAAAAAGTTTAGTTGAGAGAAAAAAAATTTACAACTAATGACCTAAAAACTTCTGTGATAAGAAAAAAAATATAATAAATGTTTTATGTAATTTAATTAATTATCGAAAGAAGTTCAAAAGTAATCTTCAATGAATTTAAAAATATTTTAAATATAATACTAAAGATTTAGATAAAACTAATTGTAACTGTATAAATGTTTTTATTTATTATGATTATTTTCTTTTAATTTAAGCAACTTTAACATCAATTTACTTCAATAATTAAAATTATTTTTTTTTCAATAAAAATTGAGAGAGTAAAAAAAAGAATTGTCATTCATGTCAACACATGGTGTTAATCAACACTTCTGTAAAAATAGTTGACTATTTGTTTCGACTTTAAAATACAAATTCCACTGCATATCGAGGTAAATATTTCGACAACAATTAAAGTAAGCGAGGAGAAAACAACAGAAGTGTAAAACTCCAGAAAAAAAATAATTACACCGTTAAAAACGGATGTCCACATGTGAAACGCACAATTAAATGAGTTGCAAAGCGTTTCAGGTTGGTTTAAAGATATCAAACGACAATCATTTTATAGTAATAATAAACATTAAATTATTTTTTACCGTTTTAACATACATAACCCCTTCCTCTATTCAATGTCTCTGATACACCTATCGATTATTAACTTCAAATCCAAGATAACTATGATTGATAAAAATATGGTGATAATTTTTATTTGTTATTTTCTTGTTCAAGTATGTGAAGTCTAGTCTAGGCATATAAAAAATGATTAGGGAGTGGCTTTAGGAACGCCTTTTAGCTTTCAAACTTGCCCAGCCTTCATGTTCTCTTCTTTTCTGATCGGTATTTCATACATATTGCGTTCGTTCACTTTTAATTACCATTTTTTACTTGAATTAAATTAGTTTTAGAATTTTTATGGTTTATTATCCAGAAGTTGTTTTATAAGTTACGTAAAGGTGATAATATTAAAAATATTACAAACAACAAATTCATAAAAATATTTAAACTGTCAGTCCTATATAACATTCATAAATACTTTATTTCATTTTTTGATATTTTTGTATGAATAATTGAAGATTATGTAAAATACACCAACAAACCTTATATTTTTCATTTAAATTGATAATCAATTTTTAAAAATTATTTCTAACGATTCAAAATATTTAAATATTTCTTTAGACTGAGCTTCTTGAACGTTTAAAATTTTTATTGTTTTCACTACATGTTCTATCGAGCTTCTGCAATTTCACTTTTTCAAACATTTAATATTAACGATACAAAAATGTTTAAACTGATTGAAAATAACTTTGAGATTTTCTCTGGATCCATTCAAGTAGGAGCCTCGTTAGATTTATTTTGTATGAAAAGTTAAATAATTATTCAACAAAAACACCGGAGTGAAAAAAATATGTTGAAAAAACTCCGTTTCTAAGATATTGAAACATTTTAAAATATACAAAAATTGGCCTCTCTAAATATATTGCTAAACAGAAAATAAAATACAATAATTATTACTTAATAATAAAATATAATGTAATTAATATATAAATGTTAAAATATATTGAAAAATATGTTATAAAATATATAAAATTTTTCCATAATATATATAGCCACATATTAATTGATCTCCAAAAAATGGATATACTTAAAAAAAGGAATAACTGGCTATTGTCTAATTTTAAGTTGATATTTACCAATTGGATAAGTGATACTTTTTAAACTATCATTTTAAATGAAATTAAAATAAATAAGTAAAATTTATTGCTAACTGATTTTTAAACAGTAGAATATCTGGCTGCAGTAAAAACAATCTGATATAGATTTTTTTTTAAAATCGCTACTATTCTATTGATTTTAAAATCTTAGTGTCGGGCCTAAAAATAAATCAGTGAATATTCACTATTTTTATTGATAATAAAGACAATAATTGAAACAGAAATTTTTTTATAACTTCAAATCAATAAATGTATGTTATCTTATAGTGATTTTTATTTAGAGAAGGGTATTAATAATTCCATTAATTACTAAGAATTAAATTATTATTACAATATAAATAAATAAATAAATAAAACAAATTTTAAAAGAAAATTAAATACACCAGTAGATGAAGGACATGATAAGTATAAGCATATATTGTTATTATACAAATATACTGGCCATGTCGTTAAATCACTGGTACGTTGATCTTATACACTGTTTTGCAGGGATTTTCACTGATTTATTTTCAGAGAGTAAAATTCAATGATAAAGATGAAGATATTCTATCCAAAATTTAATAGACTTTATCTAAAAAAATTTTATCGTAAAAAGATATCAAAATAGAAGTGGTTTTAAATGGCAATTAACATTAATAATAACAAAAGGAAGAAAAGGGTGAGTGAAAGAAGGAGGAAGGGAGGGATGGTCAAGGATATTAGGTATATACGTATATACAGTAAGTATAGTGGTGGATGATCCATTAATCAAGCGGCATACAAGCAAGGAGAATCGATCGATAAACGAGATTGCGTTGTAATGAGTGCTGGGATTGGCCTTTTTTTCCTTCTTTGCCTCTTTCTCTGCCTTCTTCTCATGCTTTCTTTATTCTCTTAAATAATTTTTCTTTGTCTTCAGAGGTTTTATTATCGCACAATGTTGATTGTAATGCAGTACCATGTGTATAATACATACATATATATTAACACACTTATATGTATATATAACTATAAAAGAGTATAATATATTGTATTAAATATAGTCAGACAGGACCCACCGTGGAGTTTTGATTAAAATCTTGGTCTCGTGTATTGAGCAATCTTGCGGGTCTCAAGAGAAAATTCTCGACGTGTTTAAAAGTCTTTTAGAACAATAGATTCAAGCCTTGAATCATAAGATTTTGATCATTATTTAATGAAAAAAACTTTGCTTGTTATTAATTAGTTGTTAATGTTAAATTGCATTGGATTGTTACCAATGTTTTTTGATTAGTAAAAATTTCAAAGTAAACTTTTGTGTATAAATTTTATTTTGAATTAGTCATTTTTAATTAAATAAATAAAATTAATTCTACTTTAAACTTCAATTAACAAAATCAAATAAACAAGATTGTGATCCAAGAAGCGATTTAATTTTCATTTAACATTTCATAGTTTAATTTTTTATTGCCCAAAAATAAAAATTAAGTCAATAATATTAATAATCTGAATATTTTAAACTAAATCGGTTGCAAGTAAATAAAATTTGAAGCAAACGCAGAATCTTTCAATAAGATCATATTCTAAACTCTAAAGCTAAAAAAATCTTATCTAGTGTACATATGGCGGATGCGGCCATTTGCAGTTTCTCCAACTGGCATTCGTGACAATTTTTTGTTGACTTGGTTTTCTCTCACAAATTTACACATACTCTAGTGGCATTAGTATTTGTACATAACACACAGACGCCCTCGCACGTGGCAGATGGTTCTTGTGTTACGCATGCGACTTTCGTCGTTTCACTAATGGGAATATGCTCCGCCCGCTCTCTTTTTAGACACAAACAGTCGTCCAATCGTAGCTTCCTTCATCATAAAATACTTTGCCAACAAATTATATATGATTTTTTTACTAGTTTGCTTGAATTTAATCATATGAAAATACATTTTTTTTCATCCAAAACATCTTGTCAAATATTTTATTGGAAATAAATATATTTTTATCCAGGATGAAACAGGAACTTGTGTTGAGTTATCCAACTACATGTGGATTGATTACTTTAATTTTGTCCTACTGTATTTATCTTGAGATGTCTTGTAGATGTCTTCCTATGAGGAAATAACTTAATTGCAAATTAATGTAACAGCTTTTTATTTCCATTTTGCTTGATAAAATTCTTGAAGTTGATGGTTATCATTTTCAAAGTTGTTTAGGGATTCACCGAAGCTTGGAGAACTTTGACATAATATTTAGCTTCAAACATAAATTTTTTTAGCTAATGTTGTTGATATGTTGGCTCTTCAAGTGATTCAAGTAACCAATTCAATACTTATTACTCTCTGAATAAATTTATTTACAAGAAGAACAGTTTTTTTACTCCAAAGAGGCCATTTTTATCGATGGTTCCAAACTAGTGTTGCCATTACTAGAACTTAGAGTTTCTTTTGAAATTTTTTATCACTAATCTTTACTTAATATTATCATTGAATTAAATTGCCTATGGTGTAGTGAAACTTGATGCATAATTTATTTCGTAAAAAAAATTTTTACTTCAAAAAAATCATGTCAATTTGCTTCGTTAATATTCCACGAAATATTATTTTTAATACTATGTCATCATCCAACAAAGCTATAAATGCCTTTTGTTCATTCGAAAAAGAAATTGTCTACTTAAAGAAAAAATAACTATAATAAATTTCTTTTACACTAAAAATTACCATTGCTTATTTACAACTCAATCAAATTATTATTCTGTTGAACTTCTTTTTTCAAATATAAGTCGATAACAAAATAAGTTTAATTCTTTTAAAATGGTATAAATATGGGTTAGCATGTTATAAGTTATGTACGTCGATATTTATGAAGCTATCTAAAAATATTAAGAATAGATGATCAATAAATTGATATACATAAATATG